TTAGATGGCCGCTTGCAAGCTTTTAAGACCCCAGATGCCACTCACCAAAGTAGGATGCAGAACATTTTCTTAATAAGCTTTGTTATGCCAATTGTCCCGAGGTCAACTCCTCAGACAAAGATTAGACTGGACTATGGGACACAAAATGATACTCATGAAGCATGTGCTTCTTAGCTCAAGTAGATACATGAGACTGAATGGGCAGCTCCTGTCCAGAGGTGAGATGAGAAGGCAGAGAGGGTCAGGAGCTGGTTGAATGGACACAGGAAATCAAGGTAGAAAGGAGGAGTGTGCTTTCACAGTATAGGGAGTGCAATTAGGGTCACAGAACAATCTATGTGTAAATTTTTGTATGAGAAACTAACTTGAATTGTAAACTTTCATGTAAAGTACAACAATAAAATAATAATAATAAAAAAAGGAAGACAAAAGAATTTAGAAAAAAAATCAAATGGTGGGCAAAGTTTATCCAAGAATTTATTATTATTCTAATTCCTATCTGGAATACTTGAAAATTATGAGAACTTTTCAGTCCCCTTCTATTCACTTCACATTTTTGGAGCCCTGGGAGCACAATGGTTTAAGAGTTAGGCTGTTAACTAAAAGGACAGCAGTTTGAATCCATCAGCCGCTCCTTGGAAACCATATGGGACAGTTCTACTCTGTCCTATAGGGTTGCTATGAGTCAGAATTAACTTAACAGCAATGGGTTTTTCACATTTTTAGCTCTATAAAAAGGTGTGTATTGTATATTGTAGTAGGGGAAAGGACAAAAATTTACAGGCTGAAAGAGTTACGGAAATAAATGAAAAAGTAGAAAGCTAGATTATCATTATTTTATGTGGTTTCCTAACATCCATACTGTCTCATTTTCCCAATCACGATGATGACATTTTAATAAAAACGCTTATTATACAAAATAGATCTTACTGAGAGAAGCCTATTGCTTTCTATTCAACAGAAACTCTTTCCTTCGTGTGCATCACGAGCATTTAACTGATCAGAAACAATAATTTACCATGAAACTTCCTCTGCAGCTCCTGTTGCATTTGCTGGGTATTTCCATTTTCAGGACGCATGAATCCCATCAGTCTCTGCTGCACTTTAGCAGTAGTACTAAACAGAAATTTCAGAATATGTCTTTTTTTAAACAGTTTTAGTGCCATATAATTCATACCATACAATTCAATTATTAAAGCATACAATTTAATGTATTTTCATACACAGCACTGTGTAACCACAATCCCAATCTCCCATTAGAACATTTTCCTCCCCTTCCCATTAGCCATTAGCAATCGCCTTTCCTCCACCCTACCTGAAATAACCAGTCACCTACTTTTTGTCTTTATAAATTTGTCTATTCTAGACATTTCACATAAATGGACCAAAATATTTTAAATTTTTTTTTTTTAGACCAGTGAAATAATCACTAGCAAATCAATGATAACAAACTAAAAAGTAAAACGTTTTAATTCCTCACATGCTTAAAGTTTCATTTTGAGATGCTGTCGGTGGCCATTGAGTTGATTCCGACTCATGGCAACCCCATGTGTGCAGAGTAGAACTGCTCCATAGGGTTTTCAAGGATGTGACCTTTTAGAAGCAGAATGTCAGGTCAGTCTTCCGAGGTGCCTCTAGGTGGGTTTGAACCACCAACTTCTCAGTTACTAGTCAAGCGCTTAACCCCTTGTGCTACCCAGGAAACTACCATTCATTGTGAGCAGATGGATAATAATAGCTTCCTTTCACTGAACACTTTCTTTCTGCCAGCACCACTGATGTATTAACTCTACTTAATACTCACAATAATTCTATAAGTATTATTTAAAATTTCATGTTACAGAAAGGACATATCAAGACAAAATAAAACAATCTGTTGCAAGAAATTACTTATCACTGAAAGAAATGAGCAAATTACAACAGGTAGTAGAGAGTCCGATTTTTTTAGCTTTTAATGCAACTTTAGGGATGGTAGGAAAAAACTGATAAACTTTCATGAGAAATTTCTGTTTGCTACTTGACAGTGAGTCACTTATAGACTATATTATATATTACATATTATATAGATTAAAATCTTAACTTCAAAAGTATATGATTACTGAAACAATAACAAGTATATGGTAGGATAAAACAATGTGTAATCTTTAATGCTGATAGACAACAAGATTTTTTAGTATAAAAGTCATACAAATATACAATAAAAGAGATTAAACATAAACCCTGTAATCTTAAATCAGAACTGAGAACAACAGTATAAATTCATGATTGTTTTATTAAAAAAAACAAACAAGAAACACTCAGCATATCTCCTAACTCTACCCACGAAAAAGGAATGTGACAACCCAGTAGCAAAGAGCACCCCTAGCACCCAGACTCTATTCTCTAATACCATTTACTATAAAAAAGAAACCAGGGCTCCCTGGAGAAATGGCTGATTCCAGGTCTGGAACACGAATTATATAAAACGAGCCCCAGACATCTTGTCATACCAGAAGTCAAAAAGCTAACAAAGACTACTGTCAAAAAGACTGAAGAGCAATCTCAGGAGGCTTCTATAGGTTAAAGATAGGTAGGACCATTTAGCAAAAAAAAACAAAACAAACTCAAAAAGCCTGCATTGGGTTGGAACATATTAAGTATGCTTTGAAATCACAGATTCAACATGATACTAAATAAAAATTTCAACTTTCAGTGCCCACCACCATTGATTACAATTAAATTCTTAGACAGAATACAAAAAACAACTACTACCCGAGAACTCCGAAAAGTAAATGATTGCACACAGGTTGGGGAGGAAAGTCAAAACATGAATAATGACCCATATGGAGAAGAACCTAACTGGTCCCCACTCCCCTGCCACCATCTTAGTTACCTAAACCCAAAAAAACCAAACCCACTGTCGTCAAGTCAATTCCAACTCATAGTGACCCTACAGGACAGAGCAGAACTGCCCCACAGGGTTTCCAGTGAGCAGCTGGTGGATTTGAACTGCCAACGTTTTGGCTAGCAGCCGAGCTCTTAACCATTGCACCACCAGGGCTCCTTAGTTATCTAGTGCTGCTAAAACAGAAATACCACAAGTGGATGGCTTTAACAAACAGAAATTTATTCTCTTACAGTCTAGGAGGCTAGAAGTCCAAATTCAAGGCGCCGGCTCCAGGGGAAGGCTTTCTCTCTCTGTCAGCTCTGGTCCTTGTCATCAATATTCCCTTGGTCTAGGAGCTTCTTGGCGCAGGGACCCTGGGTCCGAAGGACACACTCTGCTCCTGGCTCTGCTTTCTTGGTGATGGGAGGTCCCCCCGTCTCTCTACTTGCTTCTCTCTTTTATATCTCAAAAGAGATTGACTCAAGATACAACCTAATCTTGTAGATTGAGTCCTGCCTCATTAACATAACTATCTCTAATCCTGCCTCATTAACATCATAGAGATAAGATTTACAACACACAGGAAAATCACATCAGCTGACAAAATAGTGGACAATCACACAATACTGGGAATCATGGCCTAGCCAAATTGACACACATTTTTGGGGGATACAATTCAATCCATGACACTCCTTTCCCATATTTCCCCAGGCTCTGACCTGAAGTGAGCAAGGCTCAGAACTATGTGGACAGTAAAAACCCCGAGAAAAGCCTCCTCTTTCTAAGAGAAACCTCCTTTTCTGAAGACACCTCATTTCTCTGGGCAGAGCAGTGGTTTGCAACTCGGAGCAATTTCGACCCCATGGAACATGTGGCAATGTCTGGAGACACTTTTGACTGTCATGACTAGGGACTGCTAGTGGTATCCACTAGGAAGAAGCCAGGAATGCTGCAAAACATCCGTCCTACAATGCACAGGACAGCCCCCGCAACAAAGAATCATCCAGACCAAATGTCAATACTGGGACAGAAAAACTGGGAAAGGGGGCTCCTATGGTCTGAAGAGTTTGGAGGGAATCTCTTTTTTTCTCTTGCTGCCTTGCTCTGAAGGTACCACCGTTTGAACAAAACTGTGTGACGCAGGTTGGGAGGAGTGTTTGGATACACAGGGACAGTACAAGAGAATTTTACAGGATGAGGAGGTATTCTGTATCTTGGTTGTAGTGGTTATATAATTCTATGCATTTGTCAAAAATCAGAACAGCACACTGGAAAAAAAGGTGAATTTTACTGTATTAACTAACACATCATTAACCTAACAATAACAACTTAAAAAATAAAAAGCCACATCAATTATCTTTGAAGGATGTTAGAAACCAATTCATTACTTTTTAATTTAGTAAAGAGAAAAAAAGCAAGCATTTATCTGGTTTTTTCTAAACAAACTGAACCTCAGGATAACCAAACAGTTGAAGTAGAGAAGTTTTTTAAATTACAGAACTATTATAGCAGGACATCAGTTCTCCTAAATGCAGATACTGACTAAATGCAGTGTACAATTACATATTTTACTTGGGTGAAATGGTGGATTTATTCCAGAGGGCTCTAGTAGGCTCCTAATATCGGTAGTTGTATTGTTCCTTAGCAAATTCCAGGCCATCATAACAAGTATGGTGGCAGGGGAGCAGATCAGACAGGGTTAGCATAGCAGAGTAATGCACTTATATTATAGCTCTTTCCTTTCAGTCCATTGGCAACTTCAAGCTTTAGCACATAAATACACCTAAGATCCAATTACTGAAGGTCAGTTGGCAAGGAATAAACAGAAGAAGTTGGGAAACTACATCAAGTCCCATCCATTGGCCCTAGCATCCAAGCCCAGATTTCCTTTGAAAAACAATTATACTCGTATCCTCAATGAGATCTGAAGTCCATATTATGAATGCTGGCTGCTACGAAAAATGGAAAAACTGGTAAATAAGAGTTCTGGGAATTAAAAAATAATGACGGTCAGAAAAGAATTTATTAAAGAAATGGAACAGATGCTACTGAAAACAGAATTAAGTAATTGAGAACATCAGCTCCCAAAATTCTCTTAATCTGCTGAACAAAAAGACCAGAAAAAAGAAAAAGAAAGGAAATCATGGATGAAAAGCGATAAAGCAGAGGTTAGGTACAGGGGAGCCAATATTTAAATACTGTAATTCCCTAAAGAAGAGAATGGAATACTACAACAAATAAAAGATGAAATTTTATCAAAAGCTTAAGAAAGCTTAAGTCTTTAGCTCTAAAAGCTAACTGAATGGTTGAAAGAAGATATACCTAAGGCAATCATGATATAGTTTCTAAATTCTACTAATAAAGAAAAAAATCATAAAAGATTTCAAAGTAAACACCTGTTATTAAAGAGGAAAGAGAATCAAATAGGCAATTTACTTTTAATCTGCCAGATTAAAATTAGGAAGAAAATGGAGCAAAATGCATATAAAGGCCAGAGAGAAAAGGACTATGACTTTAAAATTCCATACTCATCGGGCAATAAAAGGGGATGAAGTATTGGTACATGCTAAAACATAAACGAACCTCAAAAACATTATGCTAAGTGTAAAAAGCCAGACTGAAAAGACCATATATTGTATGATTCCACTTATAGGAAATGTTGAGAATACGCAAATTTATAGAGACAGAGCAGTTTAGTAGTTATCTGGGTCTGGGTGAGAATGGGAAGCAAGTGAAAATGGACACGGGGGATATCTCCAGGGTGATGGGAAGTTCTAAAATTGGATTATGATAATGGTTACGTTTACTAGAAATTATTGAACTTTTTATTTAAAAGAGTAGATTTGATAGTATGTAAACTATAGCTCAATAAAGCTGTTAACAAAATACTCAGGGAAACATTTGCAACCCAGGCATGGAAAGGTTTGTCAAAATTAGGAAATGTATTAATATAATTCTATTAATAAAAGTAAGGAAAAATTGTAATCATGTCCGTAAAATGCAGAAAGGCAATTGACAAACTCCAATACCCACTTATGTTAAAAATAACCAATAAAATAGAAATAGATGAATATTTATCTAAAATGATAAACTGTATCTATCTCGTCATCTTCCTTAATGGGAAAATACTACAAACATTCTCACTAAAATCAGGAATAAAACCAGGATGCCCACTATATCTCCATTATTATTTAACACTGTGTTGAATACCAACCTATGAAGATAAGAGGATGCAACCAGAATAGGAAATGAAAAGGTAAAACTATCCCTTTGCAGATGACAGGATTACATATCTGCAATATCCAAAAGCATCAAAGAAAAAAACTACTAAAAATAATAAAGTGAAACCAGTAAAGTAACAGGTTATAAAAACTTAAAAAATAATTGCAGATATAACTGTAAAATTCAATGAGCTACTTAAAAACTATTATTATAAAAGCTTGATGTTAGAAAAAGGAGCCCTGATTTTATGTTATGTGAAATTGTATCTCAGCTGCTAACTGAAAGGTAAGCAGTTCAAACCCACTCAGCGGTTCTGAGGGAGAAAAACCTGGTCATCTGCTCTCCTAAAGATTACAGCCTAGAAAATCCTATGGGGCAATTTTACTCTGTCCTATAGGGTCACTATGAATTGGAATCTACTTGATGGCAAAAAACACAACATGTTAGGAAAAAAAAGAAAAACCTTGCAACTAAAATTCCAGATAATTTTAAGGGAGAAAGGGCAGGAGGAGGTAAGGATTATAGATTCTGTTCAATTATCAATGCTGACTGAGATGTACATTTGAGAGAATTTAAAACTAATTACCAGAGGAAGAAAAATTGTATGCAGAACTTCTAAACCAGTGTCGGGGGAGGGGAGACTTGATTAATTCAGTAAAATAAGGAAATTGGGAAGGGGAGAAAAAAATAAAAAATACAACAAACCACGAATTCAGTATAGTGAAAATAAGACCAAACATTTAAATAATCTTAATAAAATGGGAAGGGGTTAAACTCTCATATTAAAAAACAAAGACTCTCAAACTGGGTTAAGAAAAAAAAGAAAAAGGTAAAATCTATTATTTATGTGCTGTTTAAAATACACTTAAAGTGCTCCAAAAGCTAAAAATAAAGAAAATCGGTACACCCTCCTTAGGAGACAATCTAATACTGCAAATTAACATTTTTAAAAGTACATGACCTCAGATCCAATAAATTCTACTCCTAAGGAATTAATCTGAAGGTTACTGAACAAGTATACAAACATGTATAAAGAACCATCATTATGCCCTGTTTATAACATCAAAAAATAGAAACAATCTAATTATCCATTAGAGGGAGCTATTACATATTGTATGATTCCATTTATATTAAATGTCCAGAATATGCAAATCCACAGAGACAGAAAGCAGATTAGTGGTTGCCGGGGAGTGGGGAAGAGGAGAATGGGAAGTGCCTGCTAATGGGTACAGGGTTTCTTTATGGGGTGGTGAAGATGTTCTGGAATTAGAAAGTGGTAATGATTGTGTAACCTTGTAAATACACTAAAATCCACTGAATTGCACACTTGGGGTGAATTTTATGGTATGCGAATATATCTAAAAAAACCCAAAAAACCCACAACAACCAAAAGGAAAAAAATGAGCAAATAAACTCTTACGTTGGATTTCCTAATGGTCCTCCTGCGAATTGGGAGTTTCTGTCTAGAAATTCTTGTAAACCTTTTAGCTCTAGTAGCACTGACTCCAGCAGTTGGGAGGGAACACTACTTTCAATCTGTAAGAAAGGAAGAAACATTATGCTAAGTGAAGTAAGTCAGACAGAGAGGGACAAATATTGTATGATCCCATTTATATGAAATATCCAGAAAGGGCAAATGCACAGAGACCAAGGTAGATTAGTGGTAACCAGGGGCTGGCGGGAGGAGGGAATTGGGAGTTACTGCTTAAAGGGTATTGAATAGTTTCTGCCTGGGGTGAGGAAAAAATTTTGGAAAACAGACTGGTGATGGTTGTACAACACTTTGAATGTAATTGCCATCACCAGATGGTACAATTAAAAATGGTTAAAATGGAAATTTTTATGTTGTATACATTTTATCAAAATAAATTTTAAAAACAAAAAATTTTTTAAAAAGGAAGAATTTTCAAAAGTATAAAAACACTGAAAAAGCTTATATAGAAAGATATACTATCAATAATTGAATATAAACAGTTTTAATTTGGAAGAACCCTAACTTCATAAACAGTAATTTCTTTACTATATCCACTCACACTTGGTGACTAGAGTAAAAGGTTAGATACCTATATCTCCCCCGCCTTGTTTGAGTGAGGCATACTTTATACATAGTAAAATACATAAATCTTAACTGAACACCTTGATAACTTTTACATTTGTATACAACCATCAGCCAGCTCAATATACAGAACATTTCCAATACCCAAGAAATTTCCCTAATACCCCTTTCTAGTCATCAGCCATCCCACCTCAGAGGTAACTACTTGTCTTACTTCTATCACTACAGATTAGCTTCCCTGGTCTGAAACCTCATATAAATGAATATACACTAAATTAGTTGAATCTATTCATATTCTTAGAAATGTGAACTTTAAAAGAATATCAGTTATTTTATAAAGAATAAAAGATAGTTGGTAATTTTAAAAAGAAAAAAGCTTGAAATAAATTGTGTTCATATTCCAGATTGAAAAAAAAAAAATCCTACTAATCGGAATTGTAATAATATAAAACAAAATTCTAAAAGATAGGCTTTCTCAAAGGAGTTTGGAAAGTATGCTAGTACATGGAAATTACTAATTAGTACTGGGTCCATGGAGTTTTTGCGCATATAAAACAAAGCATTAAACAGTAACTTTGAGCAATATTAAGTATTAGGACTGATGCTATTTAACACACCCACGACATTATAAGGGAGATATATTATTCTTCTCATCTTACACTGAGGTACCAGGCTCTGAAATGTTAAGAAATTTACCCATGATCAGACAATTCATAAGTGTCAGAGCTGAGATTTAATCCAGAAAGTGGACAGTTTATTATTGGACAATTATACAAACATCAATAAAGAATAATCATTACATCTTGTTTATAACATTAAGAAGTATAGCACAATCTAATCATCTGTTAATAGGAAGACATAATAAAGTGGTTACATAAAAATAATGAACTAATATTAGACATACTTACAGCAGTGATCTCTCTATTGCCACTCTTGAACACTCTCTCCACAACTAAACTAGCATCCCAAATATTTCTGCAACAAAAAATGTTTTATTGTGCTTTAAATGAATACAAACAACGAGAATCAGTAGTAAATTCCTACTATAGGAACTTAAAGTGTTTATTCGGTTTTTGTAAAACATAGCAATGGTTTCATTTAACATTTTATTAAGTTAGCTGGAAGAATGGAAAACAGAAAAACTTCCAAACCTAATATAACTAATTTCAGAAAATAAAACACTGCTGAAGAAAAATCAAACGGCTCTGCATAATGAGTTACAAACAAGGGAGTGTATAAAGACAAAAATATTTCAAGGAGCTCCGCACTGTTTAACATTTTAAAGTAAATGACTTAAATGAAAATTTACATCTCAAATCTAAGAAAAATACATACTAGCACTATAGCTAATTAGATGATATGGTAGACTGACTGCAAAAAAAGGTCACATTCTTTATCCCTCCCTATACCTATCGCCTATTGCAACGTGACTTTGATGCTTCTCCCATAAAGACCATTTGCCATGGAGACAACCCTCACGTGTGTCAGAGAACAGTGCTCCATAGGGTTTTCAATGGCTAATCTTTGAGAAGCAGATCGCTAGGACTTTCTTCTGAGGTGCTTCTGGGTGTACTTGAACTTCCAACCTTTTGGTTAGCAGGTGAGCACATTAACCATTTGCACTGCCCAGGAACTCCTCACATAAAAGAAGTGGAGTCTATTTCCTCACCTTCTGAATCTGGGCTGGCCTTAAAACTTCCCTCTGGATAAGTGAATAAGGTGGAAATGAATGGTATGCCAGTCCTGGGCCTATTACAAAGGGGCTTTGAACATTTCTAGTCTTTCTCATTAATCCTGCCACTACCAAGATAAGCCCTGGCTAGCCTGCTGGAAGATGAAAGACCATGTGGAGAAGAGTCCATCTGCCCTAGCTTAGTCCATACGAGCCTACAAGCATGACCTTAAAGAGGTGAGAGTCCAGCTAAGGTGGCAGAGCTCCTTCCTATCTCATAGCTGACTGCATACACAAGTGAGCCCAGCCAATCCAAAAAAACTGCCCAGCTGACCTGTAGATGCATGTCACTCAGTTATGGGGTGGTCTGTAATGCTATATATTGATATGTATGTAGACGTACTTTGAGGCAATATATATAAAACATAGCACAGGTATAAATGGATAAGAAAAAGGCTGAATAACAGAAAACAATATTATCATTAGACAAGTGAGCTAAAACTGAAATCTAATAGAAATAAATGATGTCCCAAATTTAGATTTAAAAATGTTCAACCGCTCAAAATAGGTCAAAGTTAGCAATAGTTAAATTAGTCCATGAAAAACTTACCCCATAATTCGAGAAAAGTAAATGCAAATACCATTGTGTTTTCCAGAGTACACAATCTCTGGTCCAGTCATACAACTCATACTTGTGGCCTGAGTTGCTGGGTTTCCCACAGCATACATTGGTGTTGACATGGCAGGAGGCTGCAAACCTTATACATACATAAGAAAAACAAATCCTCTAAAAATAGTACCTTAAAGATTGAGAATTCTGAACAACCCAAGTTTGTTTTATCTGTACCCACAGATAAGAATATTTATAAAAATACTGAAATAAATAATTTATTTGGTTTTCCTTAATAAGCAGAGACTTAGACTTGGATAGGTGCTTCTAGGTGGACTTTCAAATGCCTGCAATGCAGGATGAAAAGGAAAGAAAACTTGCGATCGCTGCTCCTAATGCAGGGAATGAAAAAGAACTAACTAGAATGATTCCAGGGCTCAATTAAATCCTGACACTCAAATAAGGGGCTTTCCAGGCATACCACTAAAGGAGTTTTTAAATAAAGGCATTCATGGCCCTATGCCAGTACTTGCTTTGATGTCACTTCTACTAAACCAGATTATTTTAAAGGAACAGAGCAGGGTAATCTGTTTCACAATAAGCATTACAGGTATGAACTCACAATGCTAGCTCAAAAAGAACAACAATCTAAAACAAAGAAAAGAGGTACCTTGAGGTGGTGTTCCCAGAAAGGTTGGATTTGGATATGGACTACTACTAGGTACAGGAGAACCTAAAATGATTAAGAATACAAAGATTTATAAAATAACCTCCCAATCTTTTGAATCAGATCAAACTTAGACATAAAACCTATTTACAAGCATAAGAGTGAGGAGTGGCACTATCCATCATATATTCAAGAATTAGACTCATCTCAATTTCCCAGTAACTTTCTTATAATCCCTACTTTGAAGAACACTGATGTTATTCAATCATTCATCTCGTTCCTTTTGAATGAATAATAAGTTCCATAACTACCATTTTGTTTTGTTCCCTAGTAAACATTAAGGATTCAACATTAATAATGTGGATTTAATAAGAATGTATCATCATATTTGAGTGTTAGACATCCATTAAAATATGCTACAAAGTTTGTAAAGTTGAAACTGTGTCAATGTTCCATACTCACTAGAATAGACAGGAGACCCCAAGATGGGACCAACATTACTCGGAGGGGGAAGAGTGGCTGGAAATCTCATCTGTGCTTCACCGCCGTATCTATTTTTATGACAAGAGAGGCTGAACTTATTCAGTAAAACTATCCATCTTAAAAGCTGGAACTGTTGCAAATCCTGCTTAGCTTCAACATAAATTGTTTAAACATTAGCCATTTTAATGTATTATATTGACAGTGAAATATATGCAGAGAATACATAATAAATATTTGTTCAATAGACGTTGACTTGAAACTGCTACCAGGAAGAATTATAATGGACTCTGCCAGTTTCTTTTTTAAAAAAAAAAAAAAAAAAAAGAAAAAGCCTAGCGTTTACTTAATGATTAATGGCACTGTAATTTTCATAGTAGATTATGGCTAGATAGTACTTAAAATTTTTTTGTAAATCACATTTGAAATTCTTATTCTCAGCTAAATATTTCCCAAGTAAAATATCTTTGAAAGAGTTTCCTTAAAGTGATTCAGAATCCTTTGTCACCTATGATACACAAAAACCAGAACTGATGAAGTGTTTGAGAAAGTAAAAATCATAGAAGAGATGGTAACTGAGGTAGAAAGAAGTGTAAAAAGAAGGCTAGACAGAAGTTGGAGAAAAGAATCCAGAGAAAGGGTATTATTGCATAGTTACCACAATGAATTATGCTAATCTAGATGCTTCCAACAGCATTATAATCTTTCTAGATTTCACCTTTTACAAATGAATGTCAGGAACTTGCCTATGTAGTCACTCAACTATTTTGCAGGTCTTACAAAAGGGCTGTAACTACCACACATCTAACATAAAACATATTAATAATACACAAAGCTTTATATCAATCATATTGGCCAATGCAACTACTTTAAAAAAGTGGCCAAGTACAGAAGAAAACTGACATATACCTGAAGAAAGCTCGAGTAGCCCAAGCAGATATTTCTCTGTCACAGGCAGCAGTGGAGCAAGCAAGGATAAGGCAAGTTGCACATGCCTGGTCTTCCTGTAAAAAAACCCAAAAACTTTCTTTATTTTAAAAGAAGTTTTGTTTACTGTTGTATCCAGTGTTTAGATCTGTGCCTAGAACAGAGTAGGCGCTCAATAAATATTTGCTGACTGAATGAAATTAGTTGGTATAAAAAAGAAATGAACACTACTGCTTTTAAAGTTTGTCATAGGTGTTAATAAAGGATGCTCTCCCTCTCTTCTTTTTTTAACCAAAATTCAAATTTATTTCTACTTTATCCCTCTATTTTTTCTACCTTTTAGAAAATAACTACAATAATAGCCAACATGTAATGAGTACCTATCATGTGCTAGGCATTATTTTTTTAATCCATACCACAAACTATTATAATGTAGTGCATATTTAGAATATGAGGAAACTAAAGCCTGGAGAGTTCAAGTAACCTGCCCTGGTGGTGGAGCTGGGATTTTTGACACAGATGGTTTGAGTCCAGAGTTCTGTACACTTAAGTTGATTTGATATTCTTGATTTTAAACTAAGCATTCCCAACTTATCACCACTGTCTCAAGCTTGTTCCTCAGGTCATCAAGCAGGGGAAAAAAAAAAGAAAGGACTTGCCCACATATATACTGCGCTTTTAATAAAAATGCATTTACCACATACTGTGAACATTAGACTCTTATTAATATACCTTAATGATAAGGATTTATCAACAACTGAGAATAACAATCTGAAAGTTTACTACAAGCCTTATACGCATTAATTCTGTTCCCAAATATTAGCACACATACAGTGATGCAGGTAAAAAAAGGAAGACTGTAAGATTACCTGCTTATTATAATATTTTGGTACTAATTTACATAAAATTTAACTATCATGCCTATTATTCCCTTGTTAAAAAATCATCACATTAAAAAATAAAGGATAAATAATTACCTGGTGTAATTTAAAGAATCTTTCAATCTCTTCTCCATCTCCACCCACATTACTCACAAGGAGATGCCTCAGTTGATCTACAGGTCTAAGTTTATGAAACATAAGACTTCCCTAAGAAATAAAAAAAGAAAGAGCATGAATAATAGATTTACCAAACTTGGCTGGTGGCAACTCACTATACTACTTTATTTAATAAAATCAAAGAAACACAAAGAACTTTAAAAATACAAAGTAAACTGATCAAAAATATCATCTACATTTCAACTCCTAACCTACACTAGGTCTATATATCCAGAGAAAATTAATAAGAAAACACTGTCTCCCTACTGCCTCCTGCCGCAAAAAGAAGTAAAAAAGGGGCTGGCTATACTACACATGAAACATAAAACATACTATAAGGCTTTATATTATGTGTGGAAATAGTACATAAATAAGTTAGATCAGTGGAACACAAGAGAATGTTCTCATACAGATTAAAATAAATACTGTAATTTACTATATGATAAAAGCAACCTCTCAAACCAAAGGTTAAAGTTAGATTATTCATTAATCATGTTGGCAAGAAATGTACAGCCATTTAGAAAAAAATGAAGCTGGATTCATAGTCATACCATATACCAAACCAAACCTACTGTTATTGAGTCAACTACGACTCACAGTGACCCCATAGGGTTTCCAAGGCTGTAAATCTCTACGGAAGCAAACTGCCACATCTTTCTCCTGTGGAGCCACCAACAGTTTCAAACCGCTAACCTTTCAGTTAGCAGTCAATCGCTTTAACCACTGTGCCACCAGGGCTCCTTGTCATGCCATATACCAAGATAAATTCCTTAAAGATTTAAAGGACAACATAAAATCATAAAAGTACTAGAGGAAACTATGGGCGAATTCTTTTATGAATCTCAGAGTGCATAAAGTTTTAAACTATGACATAAATCCCAAAAGAGAACTGATAATTGACTACTTATAAAATTTCTGCATGGGAAAAATCTCAAAAAACAAAGTCAAATGACAAACCAGGAAAAAATACTTGTGGCTAAAATCACAAAAAGTTAGTTTTCCTGATACATAATTCCATAAATCAAAAAGAAAAAGACAGCTAGTGTGGTAAATAAGAACAGATAGTTCAAAGAAAATATCCATTTAAAAAGACAAGTCAATCTTACTCTTAATAAGACAGCATAATCACACTGTGCTTGGAGTGGGTGTGAGTACACAGCTACATGTATCACTAGAGAATGTATAATGGGAAATCAGGCAATATCTATCAAAATTATAAATACACATGCTCTTTGACCCAGCATAAGCATTCAGCAGTTTCACTTATACACATACAAGATGATGTATGTACACACTTGCAGCATTATTTTTAATAGCAAAAGATGATTCATGAATAGGAACCTAGTTAAATACGGAGCCCTGGTGGTGAAGTGGTTAGCAACTCAAGCTGTTAACGAAAAGGTCAACAGTTTGAATCCACCAGCCACTCCCTAGAAACTCCATGGGGCTTATGTCCTATAGGGTCGCTGAGCTGGAATCGACTCGGCACACAACAGTTAAATATGGTACATTCATACAAAATATCTTTCAAATGTAAGAAAAGAATAAAAGTATTAACTATTGATATAGAAGAGCTCCAAAATAAACGACTGAGGTAGAAAAAGCAAGGTATAAAATAGTGTCCATAGCATGCTACTATTTGCTTAAAGAGATATTTGCACTGTTTGTATATCCATGATATATCTCTGGAAGGATACACAATATTCTGATACCATGGCTACCTGTAAAGAGGGACCTACACTGGAAGGGAGAATTTTACTGTACATATCCATTTTAGCTGTTGATTTCTGACAGTGCACTACAATTCAGAAAATAAATATTAAGAAAATGTTTTTTAATAAGTTAACATGAGAATGATAATTATTTCACTGTTTTTAGTAATAAAATTTAGTTTATATTTCATGTTCCTGAACCCTGGTGACAGCACTGTTAGGAAATGTGTAACACTTTTAAAGAGTCAGTTCTTTCTGTAGTATTTTTGGTATTTACAAACTACTCCTTAAGAATGTAGTAAGAGCAAACATTTATAAACACTTAAGCAAATGATTCTATTAAGTGACTACTGCAGAGTACTTGATAAAATCATTAACTATCACTTCTCTGTTGCTGTCTCCGTCTGAACAGAGTATGCGCACACCTGCGCGGAGAGGAGAACAAACTTCTTTGGAGGCAACATGTGCTGCTGGACAGCAACTGGTGAGTCAGTTATTGGAATATGATCCTTATTTAATGGTGTAATTATCTTATCTACTTTCAATTCATCTATTGCAGATAGAGCCCAGGAATGACCATCAACGCGGGTAGTCATCTATATAAAAAAAAAACAAAAAAATTTGTATACATTTTATTCAAGTTACATGAAGCAAAACCTTCCAGGGTGGGGGTGGAGGGTGGGGGGAAGGATACAGATCTAATCACTAAATAACTGTCCTATTCTTTTAATTATCTTTTATATTCATAAATTATATTTTAATACTCGAAGACAATTGCAAAACTTTCTCAAAATAAACTGAATATACTATTTACTAGAATCACAATTATTTCTATAACCAGAGGCTGGCTACTTCCTACCATCTTCCTAGGATAGATTAATTTACACAAGTAGGTTTAGTATTTGTATTTGCTGACATGTAGATTCTTGTTCGTTTCTGAGGTTACATTGTTTTCTAAGCCAAGAGCTTCTATTTTAAAACTGTATTAGTCTTCTAAAATATTTTATTATAAAAAATTTCAAGCATAGAGAACTGTTGAAATTAAAGAGTAAATATCTATATACCCAAAACTCAGATTCAAGTTATTAGCATTATGCCATATTTGCTTTATCTCTATGTATTTTTTCTTTTATTGAACCATTTGAAAGTAAAATTATAGACATCATGATTCTTTAACCCTAAATAAAAAGCTCATGCATTATATTTTGTAGTTGTTTTTTTAAAAAAGTCCTCGTCCATTTGAAATATAGCTTCAGTATTGTACAAATAAAATAACATGATGTCTAGTATTTGCTTTTAAAATACAACTATGTATATGTATTTGTGTGTGTATGTCCATGTGGGGTAGAGAGATGAAATAAGATGGAAAAATATTTGTAATTCTTGAATGCGGGGTTGTAATTCTTGAATGTGGGTTTCAATTTACTATTTCCTCCACTCCTGTGTATGTTTGAAATTTTTATAATTAAAAAAAACTAAAAAATTTAGGCAAAATTACAAACTAAAGATATCTTTAGAATAAAATTCTAAGTCATAACTATAATGGATGTTCTCATAACTAAATAACTAAAGAATCTAATTTATTTAAAAGGGACAAAGATCATTATAAAAAAGATATATGCATTTTCAGGTACATTATAAAAAATACCCTAAAATAGTTCCAAAATTTTTATAAGGATGCATTTAGTGATTACCACAATGATTTTTAACCTGACAAAGGAAAAGAAAAAACAGGATACACTTCTTTTCAATATGATTTCTAAACACATAAGAGTATGACAAGCAAGCAGTGATAAATCAGATGATTAAGTTCCTTAACATACTATTCTTCACTGAAAATTATACAAAAAAAAAATTTTTTTCACAATTCTCTTGATAGCTTACTTGAGTTTCCATCAGTGGCTTTTGGAAAGGAAATGTATCATGGTTAACACACCACAAAATATCATTATCTTCATTTTCTGAGGCTGTCATCAACAGAATTCCTAAAAGTTTAATACACAAAATCTTATTATATGATGTCAAATAATAAGCATCCCCAATAATCATAACAGTATTAATACCATTAATATATACATCACACGCAAATATGTATACTCAAACTCAATTAACAACAATATGTAACATTAATCTTTATGCACAAACAAGCTAAAATAAATCCACCTAAAAAACACATAATTTTTGGTAGAGTAGAATCATTACATGTTCCAGATCTTATCCTGCATTTTTTTAGGTAAACACTTACTTCACATTTAAACATTTCTGAAGTTAAGGTGTATCCTGCAATCAAGAGATTTATCAATTTAATTGACAACTTAAAAAAAAACCTTTATTAGAGGCGGGGTGAAGACGGCAGAGTAGTCAGATGCTTCCGGTGGTCCCTCTTAAAACAAAGACCCGAAAAAACAAGTGAATAGATTATATGACAATCTAGGAGCTCTGAACATCAAAGGCAAAGATGAGGAATCGGACTGAGTGGCAGGGGGAGGGAGAGATGGTTCAGAAGCAGCGATGAGCTGCAAGACCTGACCCAGAGGGAGGTGGCGCCCTGCGGGCCAGATCAGCTGGCATGTGCGGTGAGGCAAGCAGTGGCGTTTGGGACGTGTTTTCCATGTCGGGAGAGACCGAGTGGCGGAGAGTCTGCTCAGGCCTTCAGAGCTAGTGAAAAGTATTGCTCAATCGGCAAATAATAAGTACCTGCATTTAATCTACCACGCAGATCAAAAAACACCCCATTTGGGAAGAAACTCTCTCCCATTTACCTGCAGTTCCTCAAAAGGTTAAAGAGAACTACCGTTATGACCCAGCAATTCCATTCACTCCTAAGCATGTACCCAAGAAAAACGAAAACATGCCTACAAAACACTTGTAAATACTCACAGCAGCATTACTCATAATCACCTAAAAGTGGAAGCAATCCAAATGTCCACCAATTGATGAATAAACAAAATGTAGTATAGCCATAAAAAGAATAAAGTACTCATGCACGCCAAAATAAGGATACATCTTGGAAACATATGCTGAGTAAAGAAGCTAGACACAAGGGGACACATATTGTATGATTCCATTTATAGGAAATGTATAAAATAGGTAAATCTATAAAGATAGAAAGTAGATTAGTGGTTGCCAGGAGCTAGGGTCATGGAGAATGACTGCTAATGGGCATGGAGGTTTCTTTTTGGGGTGATAAAAATATACTAAAATTAGACAGTAGTGATGGTTATGCAACTCTATGAATATACTAAAAACTACTGAACTGCACACTTTAAAAGGGTAAATTTTATGATACGTGAATTTTATCTCACTAAAGCTGTTACAAAATGCAGTAATGGTGCCTGATACCATGCATTTGAAAACATTTCTATTTGTAAAGCATTTCACTTGGGTGTTGAACAATAAAATGTTGGAAGTCAGCAGAATAAGCACAGAACAGGCCTAAGAATGATCAGATAATCAAAACAAATGTTTTGGAAATGGTTTCCCAGAATGGAAAAGGTAATACAGTTTTTAAGTTTTGAATATTTAACTAGAATTTAATTTCCGGTTTAACTTAATTATGAATCCAAAAGATTTTGTATTGTTCTGAGGGACTGAATTACTGGGTGCAGGGCTGTGGGGACCATGGTCTCGGGGAACATCTAGCTCAATTGGCATGACACAGCTTATAAAGACAATGCTCTACATTCTACCTTGGTGAGTAGTGTCTGGGGTCTTAAAAGCCTGTGAGCGGCCATCTAAGATACTCCACTGGTCTCATCCCTTCGGGAGCAAGGGAGAATGAAGAGAACAGGATACAAGGAAAAGAGTAGTCTGAAGGACTAATTGTCCACAGCTACCAAGGCCTCCACCGGACTGAGTCCAGTACAGCTAGATGGTGCCCGGCTACCACCACTGACTGCTCTGACCAGGATCACAACAGAGGGTTCTGGACAGAGCTGGAGAAGGATGTAGAGCATAATTCTAACTCACACAAAAAAGACCAGATTTACTGGCCTAAAGGAGACTGGAGAAACCTCGAGAGTATGGCCCCCAGACACCCTTTTAGCTCAGTGGTGAAGTTACCTCTGAGGTTCACTGTTTATCCGGGGAGTGGACAGCCCCGTAAAACCAAATGAGACTAACGAGGTACAGGAGTCCAGTGACAAGGGCCAGAAGGCAGAAGGGGACAAGGAAGCTGGTGATAGGGAACCCAAGGTTGAGTAAGGATATTGTTGATGTGTTGTGAGATTGTTAACCATTGTCATAGGGCAACATCTGTAGTAACTGTTAAACGAGAAACTATTTTGTTCTGTAAGCCTTCATCTTAAGTGAGAATAACAGCACAATTGGAAGAGCGTAGTCAATGTCACTGAACTGTGTATGTAGAAATTTTTGAAACGGTGTATCTTTGGCTATGTGTATTTTCACCAAAAAAAAAAAAAAAGTTGAGAATTTAGAGGGTTAATATGTTGTGGGGTTGTTAACCAATGTCATAAAACAACATGTGTACTACTGTTTCATGAGAAACTATTTGTTCTGTAAGCCTTCACCTGAAGTACAATAAAATATATTAAATAAAAAAAAAAAAAGATTTTGTATTGTTGTACACAAAACTCTCCATATTCATCCCAAAACCAACTCTTCAGACAAAAATTAGACTTGACTATAAGTCATAAAATGATACTCGTGAAGAAAAGTGCTTCTTAGCTCAAGTAGATATATGAGACTAAATGGGCAGCTTCTGTCTGGAGGCAAGATGAGAAGGCTAAAAGGGACAGGAGCTGGTTGAATGGACACGAGAAATCCAGGGTGGAAAGGAGGAGTGTGCTGTCACATTATAGGGAGAGCAACTAGGGTCACGTAACAATGTGCGTATAAATTTTTGTATGAGAAACTCACTTGAACTGTAAACTTTCACTTAAAGCACAATTAAAAAAAAAAACCAAAACTTTTCATATCCATAAAAATGACACCTGCTTGGTATCAGAAGAGTTCAGAATTTATTAATAGCGGATATAACACTGATTTTGACAAGTAAGTTCATACATAAGGCTGATTAAGGTGCTGAAATTAAAATAATTCAAACAATACTTAAATATTTAAGCAATACTATAATTTTTATATACACACCAAATATAGTAAATGTTAATGTAAAATATATATAGATACAGTATCTGGGTAAAAAAAATAAATCATTCTAAACTTTACTGCAGAACTTGTTTACGTTATTTTCAAATGACTCTAAATGCTTTAAGATTTTATCAATTTTAAGAAACGAATATTAGATCTGATAGTACCTCAGAACGTACCTTTACTATAAAGAGCTTTATGCACTTTTGAAGGTTTTTCCACAGTTGAAGATGCTGAAAATCCAGGAGGTAAACGAACATGAACCAGTGTCAACGTATTGGGCCGTGCTAATGGCTGTCTGAATGGACATGTGCTGAAATAAAACCTTACACCTGATAATAGGGAAAAATTATGTATCAGTCACAGAAAACAAAGGACCTGAAGTACATGTATTATTGAAGCAACTCCATACAGGAACATGTCTGTTAAAGCCATATTATTACTTTCTTGACCAGTTTTAAATCACCATCCAGATGACTAGCTGAAAGGAATTCCTAACAAAATGTCACTCAGAATTGAGACATGAATCAACATATTTCGGGAGAAAAAACTTGCAACTAAAAATCAAGGGAGCCTGGGATCCAATTCAGGCTGAACGACAGAATGTTAGCCACCTTATCTTTTAGGCTTGGTTTTACATCTAAAAATGACGAGACAGAACCAGAAGAATCTTCCGGTTTTCAAAATTATCAATTCTTAATATGGTTTGATAATTGGTACAAAAAATCTTAACATGGATTTCTAATCATAAATTAAAAAACTGAGGACTATCAAAAGTTATAACAGTGATGGAAGATGTATAAATACAACAACATACCTGCATGTGTGACAGCCAATAACTGACAGTCGAGAGATTCAGAATTTTCAATCACTGCTATTTGAACAATTGGCTTAAAAACAGAACGATCTATTGTCCTAAAAAAAACGGGAGAAAAACTAAAATGTATTTTAAAAATATGTCTATTAAATTATAAGGAAAATCCTTCACCAGCATTTTTGCATGTCTAAATATGCTAAAACAATTTAAGACTAACTTCTTAGGAAAGTGATGCAATAGCAACAAGAACTGGCAAAATACTCTTAACGTGTTTTGTTGTTTAAGATTGTTAAAAGTAATCCTTTTTTCAAACAAAGATCACAAAAGCATGCTAAAACCATTAGGTAAATGATTGATGAGAAATAAGCTATTCTCATAATATCAAAATATCACTGCAAACATTACCACTACTACAATCATGACATCTACAACTTACTTTCAAATAGTTCATGAGAGAGTTAGCAAATGAGATAAAATGTTAATAATACAATGAATTTAGATAAAGAATATACCAGTTTTTAACACACTGTTCTTTTAATTTTTCTGTAGATTTCAATAACAAAAAAATGCGGGGTGGGGGGAGAAAAAGGAAACCCTTTTAGATTGTCTTGTGATTTTATTTGTCCTGAAGAGCAAAGAAAACATGTTCTTTCACTGGTATATCTGATTGTAGCAATGACACAGGCACAAAGATAACAAAAGCTGAAATTCTGAGGTCTTTGTTATGTGAAGAAAATTTCTGCAGCTACCTTAGTTGGAATATATGCAAATACCACTACATAGTGTCTGAAGCCTTGGCTTGCAGGATGGACCTCAAGCAAATTATAGCATCCCTTAGTTCTAGTTTCCTCACGCATAAGAATACATTCTGTGAAATTCTGTATTCCCAAGCTGCACTATGTCAATTATCAAATCAATTAAACTTGTACCATGTAGATCTGTTAGAAAGGGAGGAGTTGTTATGAGCAGGAACTTTGAGATACGGGGGTTCTTAGTTAGAACACCTGTAATTCCTAAAACAGATCACCTAAATTTAAAATTCCTAGGGAAAACACACATGAAGCTGTACTTCATAACTTTAAAATCCGTCTGCCTAAGAGTCTCTAGCAGCTGTTTCAAACTATGATGCGGTCTCCTTCAACACTCTTTACCTTTTAAATATATTTTGAGGAGGGAATAGTTTTAGTATACTGCATATAAATAGTAGAAATGCCTGGAAATGAAATGTCTGACAATGAATTACATATTACCTAGCAATGTTTCCAGCAGCAGAGACAATAGAATTCTGTGAAACAGAAGCAACTCTGCTCATTCCTTGTCCGTCTTGGCCCAAATCATAAACCTGTGAACGAACAATTGAACACAACTTGTATACTGCATACATTTTATTAAACAAACATTTTCTTTTTAGGGATTCTTTAGTTTTGGTACTTCATACATGCATGGAAACGTCGAAAGATCGGAAATCTTATAACAAGGGGCCTTATGAAGTGGCTTAGCACACAGACCATAGAAAAAAGCACACAGTTCATAGAAAAAGTCTAAGAGTGACTGCATCTTCTTTAAGAACAGATTCCCTTCCCCTCAAATGGTAGCATAATATTAATACTTACTTGTATTACTCCTTTCTCAGATCGTGTATATAAAATATTTCTAGAATTATCAACTGCAATTTGAACGATAGGATCTAAAAGAAAGAAAAATTTTAACAAATCAAACACAGGAGCTACTTACAACAAATTAAAATTGTTGAATTAAAACTTTGCATTCAAGGCCTTTGCTCTTCCTTTGTAGATAAGTCATAGAATATTTCCCTAAGAACCAGGCCAGGAAGTATTTAGTCAAACATCATGTGAAAAAACAGATGTCAGATACTGTGACTGAGTTAAGAGCATCACAAAAAAGTAATTCAGTACCAGAAGTGAGTTTTAGGCTAAACAAAAAACAAGTTCTAGAATATTCATTCATTCAATGAACATTTACTGAATATTTTCTACATGCTAGGAGCACACAGATGAATTATATCTGGTTCTTTCCTTCAAGAAGTTTCCAGTTCAGTAAATAATTCCTTTGGTGAAGAGAACTAATAAAAAAAATCGGTCATATTAAGGATTGTTTTAGGTGTATGTGTCTTATTTTGCTTAAGTATTTTTAAAATGAATTTACCTGCCTAAATCTATCAGTTCATTCAAAACTCTGATATATTCATTTTATACTGGGAACTCGTTCGACACTAGGCAAAACATGGAAACATTGGTGGCATAGTGGTTAAGAGCTATGGCTGCTAACCAAAAAGGCTGGCAGTTCAAATCCACCAGGCGCTCCTTGGAAACCCTGTGGCGCAGTTCTACTCTGTCCTTTAGGATCGTTATGAGTCAGAATCGACTTGACGGCAATGGGTTAAGCAAAACACATACAGTCGATTCTCGTTATCCACAGTGGTTATGCTGTATAAAGTCATCGTGATCACTAAATTAGCAAGTATTGAACTATTGCACAACTAGAGGAAATACGGGGTTAGGTTCCTGTGAGTCTCTGGTTATAAAATTTTCATTAACCAATAATACATAACCTTAGATGTCTTATTGTCTGTCTAATGGTCTCCCTTACACATATTTTAGGTAAACATAGATGTGTTAGACACATACTGCCTGAGGCTACATATATAAAAACTAAGTATCTTCAGAAAAAAACCCATGCTGTCTTGATGTTATATAATTCTTTCTTCTTTTACAATATCTTATGAATATATAATAAATGCTGTTTAATATGACAAACTGTTTCAATTAAGAATGAGAATTTCTAAAGAAAATGTTAAGTCTCTGATAACGTTAAAAATTTGTTTTGTTTTCTTACCATCTTCTGAAAATGTGAATTGTAGCAAGGAAGGAACAAGGAAAGAAAGTGCACTCTTTGAGTGGTTTATTTTCCTGCATCTTTGGCTAAACCAACCTGCTTCTGCCTTAAAAGAAAAAATTGAAAGAAGTAAGACGTATGTAATTCCCTCATACCAACTACCATATACCCATGTTTATAAGAATTTCCAAATCTTCACAAAATGCCAATGATTATAAAGTAAGGGATACTATTAAAAAGCAAATACTGAGTTGAATCCTGTTAAAAATAGTAAATGTATTCAAATAATCAAATGCTCAATGAAATCAGCTACGTCTATCTGAGCAACCTCAAAAGTGCTGTTAGAAAACACATTTTAATTATCTGAAAAACACCTATTTCAAAGTAGTAAGGAAAATAATAAGCACAGTTCATAAGCGCCACAGATACATAGGACGGAGGTATGCATTATCTTTTCCAGTTTAAAAGGACACTGACAGCAGTAGCTGCCATCACCACAATCTAGTCTTCTCAATGATTTGAGTTTTGCCACATCTGTAGCAAAACCATTTTTGATAGTAAACAAAACCAAGAGAAACTGGGAAAGGAAGAAGACCCAACGTAATATAAAAAACAAAGCAGACCTAGGTTCTAATCCTACCTCTTCCACTAAATAGCTATGTGACTATGAGGACATTGTTATTGTTAGTTGCTGTCAAGTTGATTCTGACTCATGGTGACCTCATGTGCGCAGAACAGAACAAGCACAGGACCTTTCAGAAGCAGGTCGCCAGGCCTGTCTTCCAAGGGTCAGATCTGAACCACCAACCTTTTGGCTAGTAGTTACTATATCTCAATTTCCTAATTTTTACCTTATGAAAAAGGCAACAATAGAGGGGAAAAAAATGTGCAAAGGATACGGTCAATTCAGAGCACAAAAAATACAGAAGACCAATAAATATATGAAAGTTGCACATTTTTTTAAAAAAACCAATTTCCTTCCATTAGATTGGCCAAAATTAATAACTTGATAATATCAGCGATAGCGAGGGTAAGGGGGAAAAAGAACATTCCTAGATGGCTGCGAAGAATCTAAAACTCATAGAGGTTAATACAAAAGTATTAAATAGAATTTAAATGCATATATGTATACACACACACATATATGTACATATACATATATAGACATAACAATCCAGCAATTAGAATTCTAGGTCTCTACTCTAGAAAATATCTACACACGTACACAAAGAGGCCTGCAAAAGAATACTCATTACAGCATTATTTGAATAAAAGGAAAAATTGAAAACAACATAAACAACATAGAAGTTCATCAAGAGAGAAACTTTTAAGTAAACCATGTATCCATATTATGGACTACTATGCAGCAATCACGAAATATAACGTATATCTACCAGATACTAATATAGGAGAGCCCTGCTGGTGCAGTGGTTAAGAGCTCAGCTGCTAACCAAAAGGTCAACAGTTCGAATCCACCAGCCACTCCCTGGAAACCCTATGCGGCAGTTCTACTCTGTCTTATAGGATCGCTATGAGTCAGAATTGACTGGATGGCAACGGGTACTGATAAAGACTTTCAGGAGGGACTTCCGGCAAAATGGCGCTCTAGGGAGAAGCACCATGCCGTCCCTCCACAGCAAAGATCCGAAAAACTAAGCCAAACAGAGAAAACAACAATCCTGAAACCCTAAAACATCAAATGAAGAGATAAACGACTCAGCCAAACACTGAATGGAGTGAGAAAACTGACAGAGAACGGAGAGCGAGGAGAGATTCATGCAGAGGTCCCCTATCAGCTAACGCAGCGCGGATCCACTATCTTGGACTCCTATCGAAGACCAGCGAACGGGGTAAGAGAAAGCAGCTTCACGGAGCTTCCAGCAGGAGACAAAACCACCGGTAATTTGCGATATATGCTTTCC